TCTGCACTTGAAAGGATTTGAACATCATGAGGGCAGGCTGCAATATCACTAAAATCTCTACCAGTCAACTCTTCTACTGGGGAGTTATTCTCATCCACATCCATCTCTTTATCTGTTACATTACTCTTTCCCCTGCCATAATAGTTGAGTTCACCATCTCTGATAAACTTACTTCAATTTCACTGACAGAATATTTTGATACAGCTCTGCTTCCACATCAAGCAACACAGCATGTGAATGTATTAGTGAAGGAACTTCTAAATCTATCCACACTGGTGCTGACATCTCTACAGCTTCAAATACTTCAGAGGCTGGCTCCACCAACATATTTGAAGAAGTATATGGGTGCTCTAAAACTGGAATTCATTTACAAATTCCAGTTTGAACTCCTCCACTTGTAGTTCTAGAGGTGTGCTAAACATAAATACTCTGCATCTCTCATCAACTTTAGCAAAACCTTTATAATCAATTTCAAATCTACATAAAGCATATTCAAAATCATGTTTCATTACAGGAATCACTCCATTACTCTCAAGTTCCCAATGCATTGTAGAAGAGCAATGAAGCTGCAATTACATTCAATTGTACAGCCTTTGGGTTTATGTGTAGCTGGTGGGGCTATATCTAGTTTAAATATCCTATCAAATCTCATAGGTTTCTGCATGACTTCTTCTGCAGGACCACAAACAATGAGATCCCTTTTCTCTGACAGAATAGTAGGAGCACTTGACTGCTCTTTCTCTTCACTGCCTAGTGTGTCATCTTTACAAGCTCCTCTATAATTTTTGCAAATGGATCACCTTCCATTTCAAAAGAGGATGACTCATTGGTATCATCACCAAAAGGTTTCACACTTGCATAAACCTTAAATTCTTCATCACACTCATCATCAAAGGTGTTGGTGTCTCACATGGTCCTGAAACTAAACCAGACATTTTCATATGCTTTTCAGGATCAAGTTTTGCATTCTGATCCATTTCATTATTATTTTCTTTTTCTACCTTCTCCCTTCTTACTGTCTGGCTTTCCTGTGAATCTTCAAATGAAACCCAGTTCATCATCACCTCTTTTAGCTTTCTGGGTGGAAGAGAAGGAACATCAAGACTAGATTTCCTCTCGGAATTTTTAACACTTAACACAACCTTTGCTGCTTCACTTTCTGGTTGCCATCATTAGACTGAGATTTGGCTTGCTCAATATTGGCATTTTCACAACCTTTATCATCTTCCTCCTTATCATCTATTTTTTCTTTTGTGGTACTTTCTTCAATGGTCATTTGTCTCTGCCTGTATCTTCTTTAATATCTGTATTTCTTGTAGAGTCCAATAACTTCCTGATCTAATTTCCTACTCTCAGATACACCAGAACCTTCATTATCAGCCACAGTGATATCATTACCTTCTTTACTAGTTTTTAAAGTTACATCAAACATTCATATATATCACCTCAGAAATACTTTGGGATACAGTTCCCTGACATTTATCCCAGTCAAAGTCTTCAAACTTTGCCCAAGAAGAAGACATTACAAAGTCTTTAGGAAGAGTCTGTGACTGAGACTGTTCTTCCCACACAGAATTATTTTGTTTCATCTGCTAAAGGTTTTGTAGCATCTGCACGAACAGCTTCTCTTAAAGCAGAGGAAGAGGAGAACCAGCTTCTCTTTTTAAACCATATTCTGCCATTGTAACATTAAAACTGTCTGACTTTTCTAATTTTGTCTCTGTTTGCAAAATGCCTGTATCACGAACCTTTTTAGAATCATTTTATCACTGGATTTATCTGTTTGTTATTCTTATGACTAACTGTTGGGATTTTTCCTTTTTAGAAGTTAACTTGGACTTTTCAACATCTAACCTTTGGTCCTTTTTCCCTTTAGATTTTGTGGATGATCCATCACTTTCTGATTTTGTTCCTTTTTTATTTCAGTTTTACCTATAGCATTCTGACCACCTGTATTTCTAGATAAAGCATCACTTTCTTACTTGATGAAGTTTCTTTGAAGGTGAGCTACTCTTCTTTAATTTTTCTCTGAAGTTTGAAAATGGCTTTGTTGACCTTGGCTGAATTGTTTTCTTATTTTCTTTCTGACTTGTAAGAGGCAAGGTTTTTGACTTTTGCATCATTTGCTACTGGGTTTTCTTTGTAGTTCCTTTTAACATTGCTGAAAATTTTCTGCGAGATGGACTTGAGTCATTATTCTGGAATCTTGCATAGGTAATATCACTTGTCTCTGGGCTGTCACCCCTCATAGGCATAACAACACTTGGATTATCAGTTTTCTGAGTCTTTTTACTAGCAGACTGCTGCTTCTGAGGACTTGAAGAAGTGTGGGTGGCTCCACTTTTAGCATTTTGTTTCAAAGGATTATTAGACTTTGGTATTTCACTACCCTTTGGCATGGTGGCTGCGTTTGTACACTGCAGACATTTCTTCTCTGGTTTTCCAAAGGTGGAGTTTTAGCTACAAAGGAAAGAAAAATGAAGGAAAAAAAGAAATCCAGAAATAAGACAGTTATCAGAAGACTTAGTGCCATAATATTCAAAACTATAATAAAGAAGAAATATTTATATTTAACATTTTCTTTATCTTAACCTTTGGTACAAAGTAACTCAGTCAAGACATTGATATTAAAATTAATGTATGGCTAACATAAATACTCTTGCATGCTTTATTCAGTAAATTTTCATTCTACTTCCAAAGTTCTATTACTGCATCTATGATTAAATACAAGCATAGATAACTCAAGGCCATTCTTAAGATCAAAGCTTGCTATCTGTGTACAATGCACATAACAAGAAGCAATTAAATTTGGCTAATATAAAATATACATATGCCATTCATACACAGTAGGAAGCGTATGTCAATGATCTAAAAAAATACATGTGACATACAATATGGCTTATGGGAAAATCAGATAGTTTGTTACACTAAGCTTATACCACAGTACATCTCCATGTAAAGCTATGAGAGCATAATGTTCTTGTTGTGCAAAGTCATTCCTGTCAGGGGTGGCAGATGTAGTGAGGCACACCACCCGCAGCTCACCTTCTTGACGGGACTTTGTCTCTCTCTCATCACCACCTGATCCCGTCGGGTGGGGAGAGGTCGAGGAGCCCTGCACCTCCTGGATATGGACCCTAATCGGGAATCAAACTGGGGATCCTTTCATGGGGCCCTGTCGTTGCCACCACATTACTGGCCCGGTCTGACCACCACACAGACATTTCTCATGGTTAGTGTTGTGATACAGCTACACCTAGCAGGTGCAGGTCCATAGGTGCACCAGCAACTTTGCATTTCATGAAAATTCTCCTGTTTTGCTTGTTATAATTGGCCCACCACCAAATACCCCAAGCAACACAAAAATACCACTATTAATAAAAGATTATTAAAGCCAGACAAAGCTACATATAGATGCCTTTTGGTACACCTGTGGAAGACCCTCTAAATGCACCAAGGTTATACTCCTTCAGGAAATCATAAACAGACTCTAATTACAGAAAATAAATATGATCTATTCTATTTTATAAAAATACTTTACAAAATGCACATTTTGGACTATTGCCTAATATCAAAAATATTGAAAATCTGCAGACAGACATACAGTGTAGGAGGCTACAACAGTGACTCTCCCACTAACCAACAATACAGGAAATGCAAAATCAATATTCATATTTATAATGGCAGCCATGAATACTCTTTAATAGTTTCTGTAATATTTGAAAGCATTTTTTGTTACATACAAATTTACATTATATACAAATAAATTCAGCACACACACCATTACATGTATATTTTCTCTCTCTCTCGCTCCCCTTCCCTCTCTCCTTCTCCCTCTCACTCTCCCCCTCTTTTCTTCTCTTTCTCCTTTCCCTTCTCTCCCTCTCCCTCTCCTCCCTCTCCTCTCCCTCTCCCTCCCCCTCTCCCTCTCCCTCTCCCTCTCCCTCTCCCTCTCCCTCTCCCTCTCCCCTCTCCTCTCCCTCTCCCTCTCCTCTCCCTCTCCCTCTCCCCGTCCCTCTCCCCGTCCCCGTCCCCATCTCCTTCTCCATCTCCATCTCACAGTCCCCGTCCCCATTTCCGTCCCCGTCCCCATTCCTGTCCCTTTCCCATTCCCACTTTACTCCTCTTCATGTTTTTTTTTACCCTAGCCCTTTCTCTACCTCTTCACATGTACCTTCACCATCAGCCCTTACCTCATTCTTTTCACCTCTTTCTATCTGTACTTTTCTCCTAATCTCTGTTTCTATCTTTGGTTATATCTCTGGCAACCTGTTTCAAAATTTACTAGCTCCCTCTTCTACACCTCCCACTCTCTCCCTGTTTCTTTACCAGCCCAATTTTCTTCTTCTCCACTCTCCTCACTTTCCTGTATCCTCTTTTCTCTTTTCTCTTTACTCCTTTTTTTCTCCTACCATTCCCTTCTTTTTGCCCTATTTCTCTCCTCTTGCAACTTCCTCTATGCTGAATTTCAATTTCTTTCCTTCAATTTTTATCTTTGTTTTGTCTTTCACCACAAAGCTAATTCCCTTTTGCTTTCCCTCCTATTCATCCCTTTTCTACTTTCCCTCTAAACCCCCTTTCTTTTCGTGTCTCTCTCTTTTCTTGCTTCTTGATTCATCATTCCTATATTATCTTTGCCCTACTAAGACCTTTCAGTTTCAAGAAAGACCTTCCCATTATTTTATTTTGCTGCCACCATCCACCTCTCACTGACTCACACTTGTGTCATGTCTCTCGACATTACATAGATGAGAAAAATAAAACCCCATTATCATTTAGCTCATTTTCCGTACCCTGTTAAAAATATGAGCAATTGTAATGACAAACAGTGGATAGCAGTCAAGTCACTTTTCATTCTTCAGACTACCACTACTTGAAAAAAATGAATGCATCTAATAAAGAATAAATGCCCTCAATTTTAGGTATTTCTAGTGCAATTCACTCTAATGGAATAATAATGTCTCTGGATCACAACAAATGTCCAGCAAACCTAAACCTACCTCTTCAGTAGGTGAAGTTGGAGGAGATCTTGGTGACTGTGAATTTCTGTTGTTTTGGTTGAAGGTATCATCATTATGAGAAATGTCTTGTTGACTGAAAAAGTATACATTATATAAATTGATTGTTTAGTTTATCTGAATAAATAACTTCTACAAAGAAAGTATCATTTTTTTTAACTTACATTCTCTTAGTGAGTGCAAAAGTGGAAAACTAAGTATCAAATTTCACAAAGCAACAAAGACTTAGATCATCTGCAGCTATAGACAACTCTTAATAGAACAAACTAGCTGGCCTGCTGATCATGCCAAGTATCTGTACAGCCAAATATATCATCTCATTGAAAGATCCACTTAAATTGTTTAATTTCTTTAACTTTTGTGATCATTTGACTGGTTATTTTCTGAAAATATATGAGATCTACTTTATAAACTTTAGACAAAAAAGGAATAAAACCTTGCTGGTGGCTGCTCCTGGGTTGCAGGTGGGGCAGATGGCTCATCTTCATCATCTGATGCAAAGGGATCTACCAACTGCTTGCGCGTCATTAGCACAGGACGTTCTCCACTGCTACTGTTGCTACTCAGGGAAGCCTGCAGTAAACAGAATGTTTAAGATTTACATACCTCCATGCTTGTATAACAATACTTCTGATGCAAAAAAGCATATTTTTATTCTGTTTATATTTTGTCAGTGTTACATCTTATCTGTGAACATGTTACCAATTTTGCAAATGCATTCATTTCTTAATTCTGCAGTTCTTAGGCTAAAGCGAAATGAATGATAAAACCTTGTAAACTTACATGCAAACAGTTAACCAAATGACAAAATATAACCAAAGAAATCACAGAGATAACTTACTATTAAAAGATTTCTTTGAATACACAAGGGAAAAAGGTTTTTACGAGAGGGAAGAAGAAGAAAGACCTCTAAACCATCTAAATCATACAAAGTTCTTTTTTTTTATATTTCCAACTCTTCCCCATAATCAACTTGTTTACCAACTAATTCCTGAATTCCAATGCTAACTACCTTTAGAGTAAATGATATTCCAGAAAGCTGAGGCCATATCTAAAAACTGAAATAACCTATCCAAACTTTTATATTTCCATCTCTATCCTGCTGTAATTAATCTGTTTAATAGTGATGGCTTCTTAGAGATTTAGGTAGATACTATCTTGCAGTTCCTATTCTCAAATGATATTTTATGTAACACTTAAATAACATACACAAGGACACTAACATCATACACAAGGTTCTCATTGTATAACTTACGTTTGAATTTCTGTTTTCAGTTTTTGCTAGCTTCTCACGTGTAGGAGAGAGAACCTTGGTGCCAATTTTAAAGATCTCTGATGTTATTGACTTGGATGAAGCCAAAATGCGATCTTTTGCAGATGGCGTAGTTACCCCTATGCCACTTTCTTTTTCTGGTGCAAAATCTCCACTCTTTCTTTTACTTGACATTGATCTGTAAGAAGAGAGTATTTAGTAGTGTGAAATCTTACATATATCTTATCACTAATTATTCTATATTCAGCATATTTTTTGTATCTTATATTCAGCATATTTTTTGTATCTCCATGCAAAACAAGAAAAAAATGCATGATTTTCTAACTGAATACCTAAAACTTTTTTTTCTCTCTTTTTTTTTTTTTTTTAAGGGTATTATACAGTAATGAATAAAGTATCTGATATAAATTGGGAACAGGCACAAATGATGATCACAAATACAAGAGCTATAAATGACCCACTTTACTGTTACATCATCAAGATTACATGAAGACACAACACTGAAACAGATCAATGACATCACTTTAACTCTAATGCTTATTTTTTGTTTTATTTATTTTTTTTTTCTTTCTTTATTTATTTTTTTGGGGAGGGGGGGCATTTCTACACATTCAGTATTTTTCAAGATAAAACACCTAAGTGAAAATAAAGGCTAAGCATCAGTAACTACGCTTTGGCCAGGAATTTTTTGATTGATAACATTTAATCACCCATAAGACACTACACTCACTTTTGGGATGTCTGGCTGGACTCAGATGCTCGTCTGATTCTGGCTTCTACTGCTCTGTTGTCATTTTCAACTTCCCCGGGCATGCTAAGGTGGGCAGACAGTCGTTGTAAATTGCGGTTGTCATCATGGGACCTCAGGTTAAGGATGTCATCGTCTCCTGAGTTGGCATCTAACCGTCCAACAGTGTAGGAGGACTCCTCTGCCGTGTTGCCAATCTGAGCCACTTCTAGCTCATGACCTAGTGGGAAGATCACAAGAAAATATCTCTCATTATATTCAGAAGAAAAATTCTATACTACTCCTATTACAAAGGGGGGGTGACAGTGAGAGAGAGAGAG